GTTTAATTATTCATATTTTTTTTTCTGTTTTGCTTTCTTCTAGACGTGAATGGAATGTGTTAGACTGCAGCTGTATGTATATAATGTATAAGTTTGTAATTCCTTTCATCCTCTACGGGCGATTTGCATAGTATTTGCATAGGTGTGAGTGAGTTCGGGTTTGGGTTTTGTGTGGCCGCGTGGGGGGGGGGGGGGGAGAACGTGTGTGTGCTGTGGATGCAAGTAAAAAGGCATCGGGACACTGTCACCAGTTTATGCCTTTTAATTTTGCGTTTAAAATATAACAAGCAAGACAAATAATGTGTATAATTTTGTTTATGTGTATGTATATTATACATATCATTTACATTATATATACATGTATAATATATATATGTGTGTATATATGTATAATATATATATATGTGTGTGTGTGTGTGTGTGTGTGTGTGTGTGTGTGTGTGTGTGTGTGTGTGTGTGTGTGTGTGTGCATATATGTATAATATATATATGTATAATATATATGCGTATATGTGTATAATATATATATATATATATATATATGTGTACATATATATATATATATATATATATATATATATATATATATATATATATATGTGTGTGTGTGTGTGTGTGTGTGTGTGTGTGTGTGTGTACATATATATATATATATATATATATATATATATATATATATATATATATATATGTATATATATGTATAATATATATATGTGTATATATATAAATATATATATATATATATATATATATATATATATATGTGTGTGTGTGTGTGTGTGTGTGTGTATATGTATAATATATATATGTATAATATATGTATATATGTATAATATATATGTATGTATAATATATATGTATGTATAATATATATGTATGTATAATATATATGTATGTATAATATATATATATATATATATATATATATATATATATATATATGTATGATATATACATATGCATAATATATACATATGCATAATATATACATATGCATAATATATACATATGCATAACATATACATATGCATAATATATACATATGCATAATATATACATATGCATAATATATACATATGCATAACATATACATATGCATAATATATACATATGCATAATATATACATATGCATAATATACATATGCATAATATATACATATGCATAATATATACATATGCATAATATATACATATGCATAATATATACATATGCATAATATATACATATGCATAATATATACATATGCATAATATATACATATGCATAATATATACATATGCATAATATATACATATGCATAATATATACATATGCATAATATATACATATGCATAATATATACATATGCATAATATATACATATGCATAATATATACATATGCATAATATATACATATGCATAATATATACATATGCATAATATATACATATGCATAATATATACATATGCATAATATATACATATGCATAATATATACATATGCATAATATATACATATGCATAATATATACATATGCATAATATATACATATGCATAATATATACATATGCATAATATATACATATGCATAATATATACATATGCATAATATATACATATGCATAATATATACATATGCATAATATATACATATGCATAATATATACATATGCATAATATATACATATGCATAATATATACATATGCATAATATATACATATGCATAATATATACATATGCATAATATATACATATGCATAATATATACATATGCATAATATATACATATGCATAATATATACATATGCATAATATATACATATGCATAATATATACATATGCATAATATATACATATGCATAATATATACATATGCATAATATATACATATGCATAATATATACATATGCATAATATATACATATGCATAATATATACATATGCATAATATATACATATGCATAATATATACATATGCATAATATATACATATGCATAATATATACATATGCATAATATATACATATGCATAATATATACATATGCATAATATATACATATGCATAATATATACATATGCATAATATATACATATGCATAATATATACATATGCATAATATATACATATGCATAATATATACATATGCATAATATATACATATGCATAATATATACATATGCATAATATATACATATGCATAATATATACATATGCATAACATATACATATGCATAACATATACATATGCATAACATATACATATGCATAACATATACATATGCATAACATATACATATGCATAACATATACATATGCATAACATATACATATGCATAACATATACATATGCATAACATATACATATGCATAACATATACATATGCATAACATATACATATGCATAACATATACATATGCATAACATATACATATGCATAACATATACATATGCATAACATATACATATGCATAATATATACATATGCATAACATATACATATGCATAACATA